TTGGGTGTAAAGCGGCTGGAGGGTGTGAATGTATACCTCCACAAATCTACAAGGCGTGGCGACTGGTTATATACCACGGCAACTTTATCTCGCCATTCTAAAATTAGTAAAATCTAGGCATTGGTTTTACAGGTGATGTACCACTTCAAATACCTGTAATTTCGTCTTATTTAAGTGCTACAGAAAAAAATAAAGAAACTCGGTTTAAATTGGAAGCTGAGTTTCGAGAGATAATATGGACACATTTATAACAGACCATGAATCTCCTTTAACTAAAGTAGTATATATTATAAAAGACTTAGGCATTACAAGGCATAAATAATATTTACATTTTATTTCTTGATTATTTAACGACACTTTTTCAGTAGCTCAGACTATACAGCGTCGAATGAGATGACAGTTAATAATTAATTGGAAATGATATGGAAGGAAGCGGTCGTGGCTTAATTTAAAGTACTGTCTCGGTATTTTTCTGGAGGGACTCAGAAAAACCACGAAAAAACCGTCGGAATGACCGATAACAAAATGTTTAAATGTTTATACATGATACAAGGAAAATGTTGAAGATGGCTGTCTGCTGGGTTGTTGCGCCGTGTAGTCTGGTAGAAGTTTGCCGACGTTTCGGAGGTCCTTGCTGCCTTCATCGTCAGGGCGACGCAACAACCCAGAACACAGCCATCTTCAGGCTCACCGCCGTGAAAACCTCAACTCCCACAAGAAAAATACTGTAATTACAAAAATTAGACCAAAATAAAATTGACGAAAAATACAGCTTTTGAGAATATTAAAGTTTTAACTTATCCAGTAAGCCTGAACATACGTGCCATGTTCATTTCCTGCACCAAAGAAAGTAGGAGTCGCTCTGGATTCGAATTAATGCACGTATTAACAGCTTGAATTCATCAAATAGAGTTTAGGATTTCCAGCCACGGTTACTTGTCAGTAATCCAAGTCTTATATATTTTGGTACCATATGTACTAATTATGTTTCATCATTCAGGTTAATCGGTAGCTGTTTGGAAGTTTTAACTACAACATTTTTCTTCTCAGACTCAGATGTGCGGTCATCTTAATGTATACCTATCGGGCACTCAAATAAAGAATGTTTATCTGACTTAAAACTTTAAATGCTTGGTAGCATTGCAGCCGGTAGGCCGCTGCTTGTGGAACATTCTGTGATCGTAGTAGACGTAATTGAATCAAGGAGCTGCAGCGATCCAGCTGTAACTAGACTCGTTGAGCCCTCTTGTCCAGCAACTGGCAGGCGGCGAATATTATCAACATTATTGGTTGAGGGAGGGGGTACAGTAACATCAAGTGATTATAGCAGTACAGCCCGTACAAATGAATCATATAAAAGTACAATCTGAGCGAGCGATTTTTAAGACGTTTTAAAATTGACTTTGGACTGATTGTAGTCAGTCCTCTACACAGCGACCCCATTTAGTGGATCTGAATTTCTTCATGTGATGTGGGACCTATGCACACTTTGCCTGGTTTGAATCTTAGTTGGATTACCTATTATACTTGTTCTTAGGGTTCGATACCCGACGGGGTCAGCCTTTGCGTCCAGACCGGCTCTGGGGCCCACCCGGCCTCCTCTAAAATGGATACCGGGATCCTTTCTCAGGGGCAAAGCGCGGCTGGGGCGTGCTGCTGACCACTCACCCCCGCCTAGTGCCGAGGTCAAGAATGAGTAGGAGCTGTACCCTCTCTCCCCCAAAGTGCCAGAGTTGGCAAGTAACTGGCTGGCTTTTTTCCTAGTTCGTACACAGAATATAATTTCTCTCTGCAGCCTGTTTTACGTGACGTCATCCATCATCACTGGTTGAACGCGGTGTATTGTTTTAACACAGGCCTAGTTAGATTGATTTTAATTAAATTTTTGTTATTTTTTATTATATGACAGACACAACACAAAAAATAGGTTATCCTTTTTCAGCTTGTTGGTTTGTATATTATAAGTTGGAGTCTGAAGATGACTGAAAATCTTTTGAAACATTTATGCAGCCTGTTGGTTGTTACCACCAAATGATTTAAAGCAGTAGCTTCCTTGTTTATTCACGTGAGTTGAGAATAAATAAAATTGTCATATTTATTTGAGATTTGAGGTTCTCAGTACGGTCAAGAGTCTGTTTGTCTTCTGTGTTGTAATTCTGTGTGGACTTCTTGGTAAATACACCGTTTCCTTTCATGTGGAGGCAGTATGGTCTCCGAAATGTTGGTTTCTGTTCGTTGCCTCACCGAAGAACGGTCCCGATATAAAGAAAGAGGAGGGGGAGTCATCTTCCGCTCACCGCACGATTGGAGGGAGACCAGTGCGCGTATATCAGCCTGGTGTGCATTCACAAGAAATAGTGTCATTATGTAATTATCATTTTTCTGTCCAATATTAGCCAGGGGATATAACAGACCAGTGTCTAACGTTTGCTAAGTGTACTGTACATAACAGTGATGCAACGCAGTGCTACAAAAACTTACGTACGCCTTATAAACGTCAAATCTTACAAGTTCCTCTCTATTTTTTACGTGGCATAGCTAGAGACGAATTCTCATTCCCCGCAGTTCACATCGGGATCCTTATTTGGTGAGACAGGATATACATACAAGCCCACATGGCGTTACTCCCCCCAAAATTAACGTAGTAATGCGCATTTGTATAGAATAAATCTTTCGTTTTTGTGGCGTGTTCCAACTTTAGGAAGTTTCTTCGTTCACTTTCTGAGGTTCAGCAACTTATGAAACACGGTTCAGGGGTATAGACGCAAAATTCTGCACATTCTCATACTTTTGACATTGGATGAACAAAAACTCCTCGGGTATTGTTTCGAGCATGAAACTGGTTGCATGCGCCGCATTTTGAATACACCGTACTAATTGAAGTGCTGCAGTCCGGACAAGTTACAGTCGGTGGTGTATGCACTGTTGATTGTCATTTGCCATTTTTATATTACTAGAGCAGAGCGCTCCTTTCGGAGCTCCTCGGGGGGTTGGTCAAGTTTTTAAAACGCAACCAACCTCCCGTTCGGGGGAGTTGGTTGCGTTTTAAAATCTTGAGTAAGACACTAAACTAATCCCCCCTTCGTCATTGTTGTGTTGGTACAACAATGCCGAGTAAACAAATATAACGTAACATTGTTTGATGACGTCATTTTTTGACGACAACGGGGAATCAAAAATTTTTATAGTAGAGAAGAAGAGATTCTCTAAAGAATACTGTAAGCTGCAAAGAATTTTAGTGTTCTGTATGTAGACTACTAGCCAATTCTTTTGTCCGGGCCCTGGCTTGCGCGTGAGGGGAGGTACGCCAGTGTGGTGGGGAGCCGTGACTTAACGAAGCGCCGAAGTGTGTAAATAAGGAACGAGTCAGCTCGCAGTTCCTGCGTTACTAAACGCGCTCACCCCTGTACTCTTAACGAACTGGACCGAATTGACATCGGCCACATATACAAAATGTTACACTGCGCTGAAAGCTTTTTTATGTTACCTGATTTATTTACTTGAAGTTCGGTTTAGTATGATGCTTCGCTAATTTAATATTTTATCGACTGCAATCAGCGCGTCTGCCTCATGAGATACAAGACAGTTAAGACTTGTGTTTATTCCAGTCATGAACACGTTAAAACTAGAATGTCCTTGAAAGCTTGCTGTTACAATAGATTTAGTCTGTAATCTACTGTAAGTTGTATTTAAGAAGAGTAGGTCCCTGTATGAAGCTGATGGCTCACATCCGTTTAGTGTTCTTGTAAGTCAGACTCGCATGCAGCACTCTTCGATGCTTTGTGCGGCCCTTAAAATTTTACACCATGTGCGTGATTGTGGAAAAAGATAGGAGTTGTTAGTGGAACCACGGTTCCGGATAATTTGACGTAAATACGTCTATACGGAAAGGAAGTTTATATATTGGCTTTATTCTAAATATTTCCTTTATACCCGCTTTACAATTGAGTAAAGTTTGATTAAGACTTTGCTTATTTAACTAGAATTAGTTACGCTTAAGATGGGTCTGTGGTAGATGAATGTAATGTAAAGTAATGTAATGTAAGGTAAGGTAATGTAAGGTAAGGTAAGGTAATGTAACGTAAGGTAATGTAATGTAAGGTAATGTAATGAAATGTTTTCTAGGTAACAATAATGCCGAGTAAACAGACGACGTTTCGTAGGTAACAATAATGCCGTGTAAACAGGTGACGTTTCGTAGGTAACAGTAACAATTGAAGTTTCCTAGGTAACATAACAATGCAGTTACACTTTTTCGTTTCACTTTTTGCCGAATGACACTGACCCTAAAATATAGACGTATTTACGTCAAAATATGTTAATGTTGGAATTATTAAAAGTAGGCAGTTATGTTTTTCCCACACGTGATGACCCAGAACAGTAAATCCTGAGTTTGACGTGACTGGTTTAGCGATTGTGAAAGATAACATATAACCATCGGATCTCGAATCGTAATTATTTAATCTTCAAATCCGTAATGATTATTCCCGCGGCATATGCCTTTTTAAAAATGTCTATGTGTGGTTCTTAAATTACCTTTGTGTTAATGGTTCGTTTTATTTAAACGTGGTCATCATCGCTGTCGGAAGGGAGGATGAAGGTTAGTGAGAATTAGGTCGCTGCGTGGAAATAATTCTGATGTTATATACATTTCTGAACACTACGCATCGTCAGTCGTCTGGTTTTTGAAACGTCGGATATGAAGAAAACTTACGACGATGGAAGATATTCGGAAAGTAATTCCCATGTTTATCACTGTTTGTCTTCTTGAAACATTCGAATTTAGGTTAATACTGACGTTCGTTGCTTTCTTCATGTCGGCAACAGACCTCAGATAAGTCAAGTGTTTAGTACATTTAACACAGCCATTACTTTTGTCTTTCTTTCCCGCCATTCTTCAAGTGTTTTTCTCTCTCTCTCTTTTATGATACTTTACCATCATCCATGGTTTTCGCTTCCATAGTGTTAGGTTTGACAGCCTGTAGGGGAGACTGGGGCTAGTTCTTACAATTTTCAATTACGATTTTTTGTAAATTTATTCTTAAAATTTACAAAGTTAGCATTTATGGCTTCAGGTACTACTACTATTCGGCTATATTAATAATATTTTTTCAAAGGCCTATTCGTTTTTGTTTCATCACAAAACTTGATTATTTAAGAGAAGGCGGTTTGTAACAATGTGCCCTGTTATGGTGCTAGTTGTTACAGTGAAGGGGAAAATTGTTACAACACATTGTATTAGTAAACAGAAGGAACAATTCATACCTTATTAAGCAATTAATTACAGACACTATACCAATTAACAATTAATTACAGAAATTAACTTTAAACATTTTCATTATATATTAGCAGCTTGCCTTAGATTCTTCCAGAAGAGACTTCATCAGCTGCTAATTTAAACGTTTCCAAACTTGTATTACCTCTATTAGTATTCCTTTTGTACTTTCGTACCATCTTTCCTGATAAAACAATAAATTTAGTCATTTGCCAACGCAAGTTATTGCAAAAGATATGGGTCACGCTGATACACTGTAACAAGGTGCTCCTTGTCCAGTGTAACAACTGGCCCCACAGTACGCCATTTTAATGTAACGGTCAAAGCAGTGTGAATATTCGACTGAAGTGAAGAACGAAGTACACGCATTGTTCTTAATAGAAAGAGCTTTAGGTAAGAAAATTTTAAAGAACTTAACTTTATCACACGGTCGTGGAAGTGAGTTCAAAGTCAGAAGAAAAATTTTACTTTTTACTGATAAAAACACTTAAATCAAACTAGCTCATGTAATACACAAGCTACAAGTACCATACCTTGGGTAGAACTGCGCACAGGGGAAACGACGAGACTCGTGAGATACTGCTGCAAGTGAGTGATTTTTAAACTAAAATATAACAACCTGCCCGTGTAACAACTAGCTCCCTTCTCCCCTACATAAGTTAATTCTAGTGTACCTTTTTGTGGCGTGAAAACCAATTTTCCCGAGTTATCCTCAATGGTTGCAATGTATAAAAAGTAAAGTAAAGTTTGTCACACTCTACGCCATGTAGGCGTTTGGGGTGAGTGGAGGTATAGCTCCTCTCTTCCTTGACCTCGGCACTAGATGGGGGTGAGTGGTCAGCATCACGCCCCGGCCGGCTTTACCCCCGGGAAAAGACCCCGGTACCCATTGTAGAGGAGGCTGGGTGGGCCCCAGAGCCGGTCTGGACGCAGAGGCTAGAGGAAAAATCCTCGGTTGCAATGTATAAGGAACGAAAAATAGGTAGGAACGGTTGACTGAAGAGTGTGACTTTAAAAGAACCCTCATGCACTGGATTTCGTTGGATACAATTTCCTTGTTGGAGGTTTTTCACGCTCTAGCCTAAGCGAAGAACGGCTTCTGGGCTCGTCCATGGTTGTCGCGTTTGTTTCAGCACGTTGTGACAACTGTGAACCGAGGTTGCTGTTGACTCACGCTGCAATAATGACCTCGGAATACATTATTAAAAAGTTATATTGGATACCATTATGCCCTTTTATATAATTGTTGCCCTGCTGATATCGCCCGTGCTGTGGTATGAAGTACAAACGTTTTTGGAATTTCGTTGTACTACATAGAGTATACATTTCCAATTTTATTTAAAGAAAGACTTGTTACTCTTAATAATAAAATTGAATGTGTATTTATTTCAGTTTCCTGAAATAAACATTTTATAGTTTTAATTACAGAATCTTATACAACTGAATGCATGGGCCTGAGAGATGTGTTCAGATACCGGACCCAAGACATTATAGGAAACAAAATTTATTTTCGTGCATTCGCGTCTTTATTTGAGGCGGTGTCCGATAGATTCCAAGTGGAGGTGACAGAATAACGCAACTGACCATATAATTGATTTATTTTGCTTATCAATTTTCGTCTTGTTTCTTCATGTTTCAACACATTCGTGTAATTATTGGACACGTATATCAAAAGTACATGCTGACCCGCAATCTATTTCCTAATTGTATGAAACTCGAAGATTCCAGAGAGCCTGTTACTGGACTCTCTCTGTCCACTCGAATTCTGTCGCTCTTTCAGACCGAAGTTCTTCAAGCATCCATATTAATAGATTTGCCCCAACTTCATTCTTATAGTCTGTTTCCTAAGGGTTTCTGACCAAAATGTTATATGTATTTCTCATTTCTCCCATCTTGTCCTTTATTTAATGTTCCTGATATTTGAAAGTGCACACTAAGTACATCATTATATAATTTTATCCATATTCCTGCTAGTTATTTATCTTCCCATATGACTTAATTCTCATGACATTAATAGAAAGGATAATCATAATAAATTATTCTCGGGCTACCAGCCGTTTAAAGTGGCTTAATGAAGAAAACTCTACCCTGAGGACGAAGATGGTTCTCGGAACGGTGGTATTTTCTTCATTAAGCCACCTTACACGGCTGGTACCCCGAGAAGAATTTATTATACTTAGTCACCGTAGAAGCTTCAGATTATACAGGATAATGATAGATTGTTATAGGCTAATAGGTTATGTTGGCCAGTATTTTATTGTCACGATCTTGCGTTTAAATATTTGTTGGAAATTACAATTTATCTATACGTTATTGTGTCATATGAACGTGGTGCGCGGTTAAGTTACGCGTCCTGGTCTTTATCTAAGACGGACCACGGGAAGAACTAATCCGCGCTGTGGACAAAACGGTTAACTGGCTACTGAAAGAAGTGGAAAGCGGAAAAACAAACAAACTGGAACTTATCTTTCAATCACGGCGTGCGTGTGTGTGGCTTGTGTTTGGATTGTTGTAGAATAAGTGGGTTACGCCTATGTTGACTTTCTTTTTCCAGAAGCATCTGTGTTGACTCGAAGCATTTCTGGAGCGGGAGTGTGTTCAGGTTTCTTTACTATTCCGTTACAGACAACTTTACTGTACGCCATGCATATCAAACGTGTGGCCAGAGGACCGAATGCTACCGTCTTCGGTATTTTATGCGGTCTGACTCAGTTCTCGATGTCCCTGCTTTAAGTTTCAGGTACCTGTCAAATAGCTAATGTGAAGATGTGCGATTTCAGGTTTCAACGGCGACATGTATGAAGAAGATAGCTGCCTATCTTTTGGGTTGTTGCGCATTTCGGATGTTCTGTTTTATGTATGTGCTTGTTGGAGGACAGAGAAATGAAAAATATATAATAAGCCACGGAATTAATAAAAGTAGGCGATTATAATTTTCCGCACCCGCATGATGGACCCCGGACCTTATTCGACATTGAGTTCTACATGCTTATTATATCTGGTTTTTACAGTTTACAACGTAAATGTTATTACATCTGAACAAGATGCAGAAACCGAAAGATGATCTTGAGTAATTATCACTTTGCTTTATATTCTGGAGGAATCTACTGCATTCGATACCAAAACTGCAAATTGGCTCCGCACTTTAAAAAGGTTGCACACCCATCTGGAACTGACTCAGCAACGAGAGCTTTAGCTTAGTGCTGATGTTTACGTTTGCAAAACTTACTCCATGGAGCAGAGTCCTTCTTGTTAAACTAATGCGCAATTGGTCGAGAAACTTTCCACCTTTTATGGGATCACTGATGTTAATTCCTGTGCCTACAAGATCTCGTCCCTGAGTGTTCTCTGCCCTGAACTAGATTAACTCTTTTAACACCCTTACCCTATTTATTTATGATACATATTAATATTATCCTTCCCTCCGGACCCGTGTCTCTAAATTGGGCTCTTCAGGTTTTCCGACTAAAAAACTGTGTTATTCTCAGAATTAACATCATAATCATCATTGGCTCTACAGCCCTGTGTGTGACCTGGCCTTCTTCGAAAGCCTCATCCATTCTTCCTCATTCACAGACAATCTATTTTCTAGTCCGCCTAAATAAGTCCATCCGGCAGTTGCTTCATCTGATTTCGTAACAAGCTGCTTCTTACAGGGTGGGATTGTCAGCCCAGTCCCCAACATGGAGGACCAGACCTCCGTATTTACAGCCCCGGAGGTAGGGTGGCCCAGCTATACTCCCAGGCACTGGGTAGCTCGGGGGTGCCAGTCCCCGTACCCACTGATGTGGGTCCCTGAGGGGTCTCAGAATTAACGCAGGATCTTAGTTCATCACTCATCGCTTCACAGGTTGGTGTAAGCTTCGCTGTAACGCACTGCAGTTTTGGAAGGAATCCGATTTTGATCTCGTCCGGTCTTTACAGAATTGGCTAAAACTCAAAATGGATACTGGAATGGTACCTTTAAATAGATCGTAACCGCCTCCTTCAAGATTATTCTTATCCCTGTGATTGAAAGAGGGGCATTAAGTATGTAGGATCTGAGGTTATCATGGCGGCGAGTCTGATGATTGCTGTCTTCTGGGTTGTTGCGCCGTGTAGTGCTACCGACGTTTCAGATGTCCTTGCTACCTCCGTCATCAGGACGTTTATCGCGATGAGGAGGAGACTAAATTCCAGAAATGCTTGCTACTTCTCAGTTCGAAATATTTTGTCTTCCCGTCTGATTTCTAAGAACCTAAAGATTAAAATATGCACAACAATAATTTTGCCTGTTGTTTTGTGTGGGTGTGAAACATGGTCTCTCACTCTCAGGGAGGAACATAGATTGCAGATGTTTGAGAATAGGGTGTTGAGGAGGATATTTGGGCCAAGGAGAGAAGACTATGGGGCATGGAGAAAAATGCATAATGATGAGCTTAAAAATATGTACTCCTCCCCCAGTATTGTCAGGGTGATTAAGTCGAGAAGAATTAGATGGCGGACCTAACAGAGGACCGAATGGAAGAAGAGAATTGAGGAGGCCATGGACCGAATACAGACCAGAGAGCCATAGAAGAAGAAGAATGAAATAGGCTGGGCATGTGGCGCGCATGGATGGGACAAGAGGTGTGCACCGGGTATTGGTTGGGAAGCCTAAGGGGAAGAGACCGCTGGGGAGACCTAGACGTAAATGGGAGGATAATATCAGGCGGGATCTATGGGAAATAGGAGTTGAAGGAGACTGGATTTTGTTGTCCCAGGACAGGGTCCGGTGGAGGGCTTTGGTTAATTCGGTGATGAACCTGCCAGCTAGTTAGTTACTTAGGTCTTAGAGATGTAGGTTTGGACGGAATTCAATTTATGAAAATGGCCCAGGGTCGTCTCCAGTGGCATGCGTTGGTTTTAGCTGCGTTTAGCCTTAGAATCCTGGTGTTAGTCTGTTTTTGTGGATAAACGAGAAAGCTCGTGTTTTACGGTTTCCCTATTGAATGTTTTGTTTACAGATCATATTGAGACTCGAAATGTTGCGGTATTATGTGTAAAACCGGATCAGTTTTGTCAGTACAAACCATAGACGCGTTCCCATGTAACTATTTGTTCCCGATTGTGTTGTCATGTGCGTTAAAGGTCATAGTCTCTCTGAGAGAGGTTAAAAACTAAAAAGTAAGTGACAGTGGTGAGAATTTGTTTCATGTGTGTGTGTGTGTATATATATAAAATGTTTGAAATTGAATTTGTATTCTATACGTGTTTTAATTAACATGAGAATTTTTAAAAAATGTAAGAATTTTTATTTGAGCTTCATGCAAAATGGGTTGCTAGGCTTGGTTTGTGTGTACGAACTAAAATTACAGTAGATTTACGGGTTTCATTTTAGACGCCCCGATGCCATTAATTTAGTGGTTTTAGAA